TTTATGTGAACTAGAGAGACTTGTGAGTTTGCAGGATTGAACTCCACATATTTAATTCTCCCTCACATCAATGAAAGTTCTGCATGTGGAGCATCTATTAAATCAGGCAATGAGCAGAGAGAAGTACTTACTTCAGCATGTGGTTTTCTCCTAATGGTTCCCTATACTGCACTTAAATCTCTAAGGATCATCAATGGGAGTTTTGCTTGGATAAGGACTACAGAATCAGACCCATAACACTTTTAAACAAAGAGAAAAACACTGGTCCAATTTCTGCCAGATTCAAATGCAACCCCTCCTCCCAATATTACAGATGAAGGTTTGCATGTGGCAAAATAACAGGATATAGATTTATTTTACCAAGGTAATAGTCAAAGAACAAAAATCAGATACCAACCAAGAATCAACTCAGTTGCTCCAACAGATTGAATTTGGCAGGTGGAGGAAGTAAAGTGGCCTGAGACATTTTTGGCTGGCAGACAGGAATAAGACAAACACAGAAAATGCTCTCATCAGAATTAGCAGTCCCACTACAAGAACTTCTTTGAGGGTATCGGAGTTGCAGCTGTACATGACTGTATGTAAGAGAGAAAGGAGAAAACTATAAAAGAGCACGAGCAAAATGCAGACCGCACAGAGAAAGAAATCTTTGGTATCTTTGGTATTATCAACACGATTAAAATTACAAATGGAAAAAGTCAGTGAGGTAGCCTCTTTGGTTCTCACTAGAAATAGAAAGGTTTTTCTTTATTTTTTCTTTTTTTCCCTCTTTTTTTCCCCCACACACAGAGTTCATTCTTGGAAGCAGCTAGTTTAAGGGTTTCTCTGTTTTTGCTTGTCATCATATGTTTTCCCCCCAGCTTGTTTTCAGAAGCCACAAAGTTTAGGCAAAGTATCGGTGTCTTTTTTCTATTGTCTATTGTTTCTGAATGCACAGTTATAGGTTGAATATTCATTGCTTGTCCACAAAATTCGCTCTGTTGTTCTGACAGCAAATAAATTGTAGTGCTTTAAGTTGTTTTAAATAAAAAATATAAAACTATACAACGCATCTTTCGCAGATGCTGAATAAGTTAAATAAATAAGGTATATTGGGAAGGCTTTCTGTGTCAAAATAATTAAGGGTACATCGCACTTTCTAATGAGATGGGATGGGGGATTAACTTAAATAATTTAATTATTGGTACGTAAACAATTTAAATCAATTAAAAGAAGAAATACAATTTTAAAATCCCTTTTTAACCTATTGTTTCCCTGTCTGTAACAGAATTTGGCTGCTTTATGAAGCAATACTAACTTTAAAGTGTATGTACTAATATAAGCATTGCATCTATGATGCGGTACAATTCTAGAACTGATAAATATGTAAAATTAACTCAAATGACAAAGTAATTAGGAATGATTAAATTAAATAGTTACAAAAGATTTTCACTTGCCTGTCCCTTCAGTCTATAGGCAGACAAAAATCCCACTGAAAATTAAAATACAATGATACCAGAAGGGGATTTAGCCTGAATAAAGACTTCAGGATTGGTCCGAGGTTAATTTAAATAAATTACAAAATTGAAACTTAATATAGTTGGTCACAACCCAAAAGAGTCAGGAAAAAAATTATTCAAAGATTTCTGTTTTTTAAAGATTTTAAACAATAAAAATTCCCCTTCATAAATATAAATTAGGCCCAGTATAATCTACAACATTTTCCCACTATTAAAAATACTCAAGTGTTGTGACAAGCAAGAAAAACATCAGATTCCCCCCTCCCCCATAGCTAGCACAACCTTTCCAAAGCTATGTTTTTACCATGTCTCCTTTTGGAACAGGAGATTCCTAATTCCTAAAGTAGGTTTGAGCTTTGCTTTGCTGGTTTAGTCCTTCTCAGGTCTTTGGATTTAGCTTTAGTTAAGAGAGATCCAGAATAAAGCTATTCAACCGAAGTAATCAAGCACATTCTTTGTTCCTTCAGAGATGATTAAACAATATCCAAGGTTTCTTGAAAGTTGAATTCATCTTGGATGTGCCCATGATAGTGACTCCAAGTATATAGTAAAGAAGATGCTGGGATACTATTTTTACATGTTAGTTTTTTTGTATCAGAATAAATAAAAAGATATTTGTTATAACCATACAGCTATAGAGACTTATAAACAGATGGCATAAATGTAACACACATTTTGGATTTTTTCAGTATAAACAGAATATTCTGTATACCATACCTATGTGTACTCAGACTCACATATAAATATATCTAGACTCAGTTTATATTGTTAACACTTTTTTCTGAGTTATATGCTACATAAAAAGCCTGCTACAGTTGACAATGAAATGGAAGACTTAATAATGGGGTGATAAAACATACGGGAGTAAAAAATGCAGCAGTGTTTTCATCAAAACCATTTGTGGCAAATAGGCATATAATGAAAATGCTAACATGGCCATGACCTCAAATGCAATCCTCTCTCAGGCAAAAATCTTATATTGCAATTTTGCTTGAGTAAAGGCTGCAGTTTTGGAACCCCAAACATAACAGCAACACCAGGGAGCAGTTCACCTTGTACATCATTATATTGTCTCCAGTGTCTGACTGTTTTCCAGTAGTTTAAATTAAAAAATTGGAATTTGCAACATGACATTGTCTACCAAGCAAACCAAACATTTGTGGGGAATCAAAAATATCACATTTTATCTTAAGAATAATTTTTTTGTTAGTTAATAATTCAGCATTTAAACTGGATAGTGTTGGCTACAGCTGCTGGCCTGCAGTCAAATAAAAAAGTCTTAAACACATCCTTGCATAAAAATTATCATTTTTTCATTGTATGGTTAACAGGTTTTGCATGCTACCATAAGATATGAAGCTCAGACACAAACTTATTGGTCATGTTATCTTTCCAGAAATTGTTGGGCATCTGCTGTATTTTTTATTGGTGAGATGAAACAAATAAAGCCAAAAAGGTGTTTAGAGTTTGGACAATAAAAATTATGGTCTGAAATAATCAAGGACCAGATTCTAATTTTCTCATGTTATTTAGCAATATATGTCACAAGGTATTCCAATGAAATCCATAAGGCTGCTCACAGAATGAAGTACTACTCAGCACAGGTCAGGAGTATACTAGAATCTGATCTTAAGCAATAAGAAAATGATGACACAGGAATTTCTAGATAATTCATTAGGCTTCGGTGCATATGATGTAAAATAGTCTGTGAAGCACTGAGAATTTACTCACTCTTCTTCTTTTACTTGTTAAAAGTTCACAAATCACTCTAAATTGCCAGCATAAAAACTTCATAAGAGAAACATGACACTTTTCCCTGGACTAAAAAGGAGATGTTAAACAAAAGACAGAACTCCGCAGGTGGTGGATGTGCTTAATGTTCGAAGACCATCTGTGTGGACAAGTTATTTTGGCATGGATATCTCATTTTGACCACATGCCTTAAATAAGGCTTGGACATTATTTCTTGTCAGACATATAGCTCAATTCATTGCAATAACAGGGAAAATTGATTGTAATTTAAAAGGCTATGTCTACACAGCAACATTATTTCAGAATAACTGACATTATTTTGAAATAACAAAGAGCATGTCTACATTACAAGCCATTATTCTGAAATAATGGCAAGCTTGCAGGACTTCTTACTCTGACTCCTGTAACCCTAATTTTACGAGGCGTAAGGGAAGTCGAAGGAAGTGTTCTTCCTTCGACTTCCTGTTGTGTAGACAGCACCAAAAGCTGAATTAAGCTATTTTGACTTAAGCTACACAATTGACTTAACTCAAGTTGAGTAGCTTAATTTGACTTCTGTCCTGCTGTGTAGATGTGCCCAAAGAGGGTAAGAGATTATATTCTGTGCTTTAATTAAAGTATTGTGACCATTCATTTTATGGAACAGCGAGAGGCATAAAACATTATGGAATGGGCTGTGAGAAAAACAATAAGAAAAACAGCACTGTATAGTACTGCAAGAAAATGAAAAACAACTCTATTAGGATAGAAATTGCTAGTCAATTATCATACTCAAGACGTGTGGAGATAGGTATTCTCAAATCAATCCTGATCTAAACATTAGTTTTCTGCCAAACTTTGAAGGTGAAGATTTGGATCAAAGTTTCATAAGCTGAACCCTCTTTCTGTTATGGGCAAAATCAAAACCTTAAATCCCAACGCTTTGATTCTTTGGAAAAATGTGAGTACAGATCTGGTGTTTGCAACTCAGATCCATCTCTGATAATGAGGCTTCACTTGTTCATTGGAGACTTATATATGACTGATCTTCTCTAGGAAAGAATTATGTGAAAAGAATAATTTTTCCCCAAAGATATCATTTAATTAATTGCTAATGCCAATTCCCCAGTGCCCATATTGAATTTATTTGAATGTATCCTTCTGGTACAGAAACTTTTTCTGTTTTTCTTCCTTTTCTTAAAAAAATGTAAAAAGCAGAAACTGATTAAATTACTTTTATATGCAGTTTTAACTGAAAAGAAGCCCTAACTCATAAGTAGAGATGGAGTTGAATTGATACCCTGATTGCAATCCTCCTCGGACTTTCCCTCCTTCCCAAACATTGAGGAAATTCAGATTTGGTCTTGGATCCAAACTTCATACTTTGTAACTACAGTAGTTCAAACCAGAACAATAAATGCAAACCATGAACTACTGGAAGCTCTGATCCAGACTGAATTCTAGATTTGATCTTTTTAACTCAGGCTCACTAATCTCTAGAGATATGCAGTATTTACAATGAAGTGTATCAGTACCTATACTGCAAGAGTCTTGGAAGGGGAAAAGGATCTGGTCAGTAAACCATTTTTTCCCATAGGAGATGGTTGTTTAAAGCTCTGAACATACAAGAGAATAATTCTACCTATTAAAAACAAATAATATTCAACTGACACATTTTCCACATACTCGTATGAACAGAGAAGACAAATTAGATTAGTATCCCAACACCTTATACTTGGAGTCTATGGAATCTTTATAAGATTCCATAAAAAAATTAAAAACTACCCTTTTTGTTGCTCAACAAAACAGAATTGATTACCTTTACACAGATCAATGGTGCTATAAGCATTTTAGCCATGCAAGAGGAGATAATGAACTGAAACAAAAGTGAGAAATCCTCATCTTTGGTATTGTAGCTGTTGAGGTTTCGGTTGCTCTGTTCCTTGTTCTTTTGAAAAAACTGCATAGGCACAAATTAAAGACAATCTTCAACTTTAAGATTACTGAGTTGTCAGATGAAGCAGCACTCACATTGGCTTTACTTTGTTTTCATTCTTGTCAACCCTTTCTTTGAAATCTGCTTCCTAAGATGTCTGTCAAAACACAGTGTGTTGTTTGTTCGTTTGTTTCCTGACGTGCTTCCTTGTTTTTTTTTAAATTTTATTAAAATGGAACAGTTTGTTGCAGAAGAAGTAGGTGCAGAAAAAGTTTCTTAGGTTTCGATTACGTTACATAAAAAAGTCTCAAGTGTCTTTAAAGAATCATTACAGCGTTTGGCTTGCTTTTGAACACTCAGTTGGTGTTTCAAAAGGGGCCATTCACTGGTAAATATGCACATCAAGTGACCATAACAATTTTAGTGATAAGGATTGTTTATGCTATTTGAAGACTACTGTAATTGCAGCTAGTATGGCCATGTTAGCTTTGCTACTCCACTCATGACTTTGCTATTTTTTTCAACATTCACTTTCTGTTCAATTGTACAGCAAACTAAAATGATAGTTATACATTTTTTTGAGGTTGCAAGGCTTTCTGATTTCTAAAATAATCACAAGATGATGATGATGACGATGATGAAAAATAACAAGTTATAAATGTCTTTGGCTTGCAATATATTGCATCTTTGGTGTACTGTGTTCTTTTTCAAGTTAAGTTAATTGGTAATGGAGATGTGACAGATTTTGATGTCATATTTAAATCATATGCAGCACATGTACAATGGTCAGTGATATCCTGAAAATGGGGGGGAGAAGGAGGAGGAGGTTCTGCTAAGAAAATAGCAAGGAAATCTAATATAGAATGTAACAATAAAAATAACCCAAATAGATATGAGTAACAATGAAATGATAAGGAAAAACTAGATGCTAACGAATAAAAAGGCCATTAGTTACCTAAAGAAATCTAGATCTCTCAAAGTGTTGTGTTTGTTCCATGCACAGTAGCAATTAAATTGACCTCCTGAGTGTGCATCTGCATTATGTACAAACACAGAATTTGTGACAAACAGCAAAATGTGCTTGAAGCTTATGTGGTCACATACTTTTCATTAACTACTTCATACATTAGAGTGTCTTAAAAGAACAGATGTAGCAAGTTAGGAACCATTCTATTTCTGTATCTATTGTCTTTGTGCTTGATACTTTGAGCTCAAGTAAACTGAATTTTAGTGATCCAAGACCATGTGAGTGTTCACTGATAAGTTTAAAAAATAAACCCAAACCATAAAATTGGATCAATTTTTTCCCTAAGACATCTAAATAAAACAATGCCTGAGATTACAGAACAGGTTTTTGGAATCAACAATTTCCATGTTTTAAAATTTGTGCTCAGTTCTCATGTCATGTAGTGGGTGAGAGTTTTAGGATATTGTGATCTGGCAAGTGTAAGCATTTGAAAAACAAAGTAGGTCAGACATGTTTGTACCTCTTCTATTTAGCTACCAACCCTAGGAAATCCTGAAGTACTCCAATCACCTTCAATACTGATACATACATTAAGTCTTCATTGGTTCTCAGAAAAAAATTGGGTAATGAATGACCCACTTATATTTTGGATATGCTTAGCTTGTTTTGAATGTAGTATTATGTAGAAAGTGATTAATTTGTGATTTGCGCCTTCTAAAACTGACTAAATAACCATTAAAAAAGTGTCCTGTGTTTACAACTAAACTAGTATTACTTTCCAAGAGAATTGTGCTTTCAAATCACCAGTGAAGGGCCCCACTACAAATCCATATTTTCTTTCTTTTCTTTCCTTCTTTTTTTCTTTTTTTATAGTTGAGTTGAGCCCAGTTTAGATTCCTTTCTTCAATCATGCTTTGGTACAAGTGCTGGAGGTTGACGAGGATCCCCCTGTACTCAAATCATCCTGCCATTTCTCAAGGCTGCGCCTCCTAGCGTTCATGAAGAAGTTACTGACCGTGGTAAGTTCCAAGCCCAGCTGCTGGGAAATAGTGATCTGCATTTCTTTGGATGGACGTTTGTTCTCTTTGAAGATGGCAAAAAGTGTTCTGCGCTGGAGATCGGTGAAAACCAGACGAGATTTCTTCTGGGAATTGTTCCTGTCTTTATTTGGTTCTTGCTCTTTGCGTTTGCATGCTTGGGGAAGCAGAGGGGAAAAAAAGAGAGAGAGAGAAAGAGTCAATGTATTCATAAGTACCAATAAACTGAGCAGGTGATACATTGAAAACATTGATAAAACTGTACAGTGCATGTAAACTGTTAACTTTATTGTGCAAATTGCAGCACTGTCAATAACCAATGTTTTCAGGTTCATCTTTTAAGAATGTGAGTCACTGATATGGCTAGTGTGGGCAGTAAAACCAAAGAGATCAATGATCTGAATTAATACTGAGTAAACAATTAGTATTTGAAAAAGCTTTCTAGAAGGAATTATATGCGGAAGTGATTTTGGTCACAGTCACCATTAAAAGGCCTGATTTTTCCCACGACTAGTGATTTTGAGTCATTTCAATTCTAGGTACTCAGCACCCATCCACAGAAAATTGGGTGTCATCCAAAAATTAAGGCTCCCAAAAAAATCACTATCCTCTTTTAAAACTGTAAGCATTTAGTATCTATTCCTATTATAAATGTCCCTCTCTAAGAAATATATAACTCCCCCATAAAATTTGCTGCATGATCTGAAATGTAGAATATAAGATTTGGGCCTAGCAAAAAACCATTTTAAACTGCATCTGTATCACTTTATCCAGTTGCAAACAGAAAGCTGCATTATTTTCAGAAACTTGTTAGGAGCTCTTATAACCCACAACAGGCTCAGTTTTTATTTTGTGAATAAAATGGTGGTGGTGGCTGTTAGTCCATTATGTCAAGTAAACCATTTAGGAAGTGGATCTATACACAGAATAAATCCAAATGGAAATGACTGTTCTATGCCTGCAGAAATGTACTCCACTGGCATATTGGGGCAGAGAGCATTTTCTTAGAGGTAACATTATTTATGCATGCCAGTAAACTGCAAAAGGCACTGCACTGCAGTGGTGAGGGCATGGAAAATCTGCTGTGTAAACGTAAAGGAGAAGGTAGAGAGCTGAACCAGCATAATCCCTCCATACCCCTGTTTACAAAAGCCTCATCACACAGACACCATCCATCTGAGGCTCTGTGGACTGAAAGGATATGTCAGCATGGAAGCAGTCTGAAGCTAGTAGACAGCCCTCTCC